ATCAACCAACACAGTATGAAGAAGAAATGAGACGTCTTAAATGCATCAACATCCTCCATAGTGCTACACTACCTCCCTAGGTTGCAAATCACTACAGAGACTGTCAATTCAAAGCATACTCAGTAGGCAATTGCAAGGAACACATACTTGGAGCCCTCAAATTTAAAAATTTGGACAATGGACTAGGCTCCAAGCACACAAACAGATCTAATGCAGTCAAAAGATAAACATCCCCCCCACACTTAAGATCGACATTTCCCTCAATGGAGAAGAGGGAAAGAAAGGGGAACGATGTTACCGGTGTGCACAGACTGCAGGAGACTGGAAATGGACCAGTCGGCATGAAACGGACTGGAGAGGGACCAGTCTGGAACAAAGCACAGCTAAAGGGGAACAGAAGAGCTCAAACACAATATGTTAGGTCCAATGGTCAGCCCAATAATACATCATCCAAAACAAAGGAAAACAAACCAAAACCAAACCGGTTTACAATCCGACTCAAAACACAAGAAAGAAAATCAAACCGTGGTGGGGTTGCCTCCCCACAAGCGCTTCTTTACCGCCTTTTAGCTGGACGCCCATGGTGGATACTCAGGGAGGTGCAGGAACAGGTGCCCCCAAGAGCGGATCCACGTCGCTCTTGAGGTACAGCTTCAGGTTGTGGCCATGCACTCGACGGGTGCAACCACCAGCATTGGTCAGCTCGACCTGGCCATCCGGCAGGATGCAAGCGAGTGAGTACTCAGATGGCCAGGGTGATCGTGATGCAAGAGGTGGGACCAGCTCATAGTGGTCTCCACCTTTCTTCCGAGTAGGCCTAGGCACCTGCTGCTTCGGCCGCCACTCCTCTTTGAGCTTTTTATTCGGTGGTGAGGCTGGAGGGAGCGGCGGCGAAGGAGTGAGAGGGGGGTCCTGCAAAATGGGAGATGCAGAAGGATACACGACAGACTCGTGTACCTGGTCAGAAATAGCATGCACAGGTGTGACAGCAATCATAGCACAGTGATCAAACTCAGTCACAGAAAAAGTAGCCTGTTCATTGCCAGCACGCAGTATCAGTTTACCATCATGCACATCAATAAGAGCCTTGGCGGTGACAAGAAATGGTCTCCCTAAAATCAAAGGCACATCCACATCATCATTTATATCCAGAATAACAAAATCAACAGGATATGTGAATGCACCCACTTTAACAAGCAGATCCTCTATGATACCCCTAGGATGCACAACGGATCGGTCAGCTAGTTGAATGCTCATCCTAGTAGGGCTAAGTTCACCTAGGTCTAGCTTTTTGAACAATTTGTATGGCATGACATTAATGCTAGCGCCTAGGTCCGCCAAGGACTTTCCTATATGCATGCTGCCAATAGTAAGAGGGATAGTAAAACTCCCTGGGTCTTTGCGCTTCTCGGGCAGCTTGTTCTGCAGGACAGCAGAACACTCCTCGCTCAGCAGCACTTTCGAGAGATCCCCAAGTTTCTTCTTGTTGGTGAGGATATCTTTCATGAACTTTGCGTACTTGGGCATCTTCGACAGTGCCTCCACAAAAGGTACGCTGATGTTGAGCTGCTTCAGCATTGCCATAAACCTGGCAAACTCAGTCTCCAGCTTGTCTTTGTGTAGGCGAGTGGGGAAGGGAAGCTGGGGTACATGCTCCTTAACCACTGATTGTGGCTTGGGAGCAGGGGCTTCCTTCTCCACCCGCACTTCTGCATCATCGACTGGAAGTGCTGAAGCAGGAAGTGATTCCTCCTGCCTGGTCGGGGCAGGATCAGCCGATGTGAGCCTGCCACTCCTGGTGAAGATGACATCTAGCTGCTCGTGCGGGTCCCGTGGATTAGGGATGGTGGTGGCAGGCAGAGTCCCCGGGGCCCGGGCAGTAAGTTGGCGCGCTAGGGCACCGACTTGGTGCTGTAGATCTTGCAGAATAGCACCCTGGTTCCTCTGACCTGCCTCCAGAGAGGCTATGCTCTGGTCCACCCTCGTGAAATTTGCCTGGCTAGTGGTCATGAATGCCTGCAAAATATTCTTCAGATCAGCCATCTGAGTATCTGGAGCTGCGGCTGCTAGAGTCTGGGCATACTGGCGCTGAGGCTGCTGGAATGGCTGCCCCTGCCTAGGCTGGTAGGGCTGCTGCTGTGGTGGGGGCCCCTGCCTAACCTGGAAGGGCTGCCTCTGCTGAAAACCACCTGCTGGTGCTGGGAAACCAGGTGGTTTGTTGGTGTTGCTGCTCCAGGCAAAGTTAGGATGCTGGCGCCATCCCTCATTTTAGGTATTGCTGTATGGGTCCAGGCGCCGAGCATTGGCGATGAAGTCCACCTGCCCTTGGGGAGTAGAGGACTTCCTCATTGACTGACAATCCTCCACCAGGTGGTTCGGGCTCTCACACCACTGACACTGAGCTACCAGAGGCGTAGCTACACCTCGGCCCGGAAGGAGGCTGTTGGGCTGCTTCAATGTCTGCACCAACTCAGCCACCTGCTGCTCTAAACCGGACCTGGCCTCCACAGCGTGCACACCACGGTCCCGGGAATGTCTGCCTCTGCTATTCTGCCCCTAGGAATGATCGCGGGCAGCCAAGGTACTGATCATCTGGTTCAGCTCGGGTGGAGTCTTAGTAAGAATATCCCCTCCTGGATAGAGACTCGATCACCCTCTGGCTGTCTGGAGTGAGGGCGCTGTAGAAGTTCCCCACTGTGAATGCATCGCTGAAGCCATGATGGGGACACTGCCAGAAGTATCCCATGTACCGCTCTCATGCATCACGAAGTGACTCATCTGGCTCTTGGCGGAAGTGAGTGATCTCCCGCTGAATCTCTGTGGTCTTCGATGCCGGATAGTACCTGTGCACGAACTTGTCAGCCAGATCGTCCCAAGAAGTGATGGACAGTGGGGGCTGGGTCTCCAACCACCTCTTAGCATTCCCCGCCAGAGAATGGGGGAAGAGGTGAAGACGGATTGCGTCATCCGGAACACCATTCAGCTTGAACCCGTTCGTCAGCTGCAGAAAATGGGAAAGATGTACCCGGGCCTCCTCATCCTTCAAACCATGGAACTGGATAGATGATGTAATGAGTTGAATCCAGCATGGCTTGATCTCGAAGTTGTTTGCTGGAATCGGCGGATAGAGGATGACCGGGCGGATGTCAGCAATCCGCGGAGTGTAGTAATACTCCAAGGTGGGACCCGGTGGTGGTGGATGATGATGGACCCCAGCTTCCTGGGGATTGGGGTCGTTCCCCATGAACTGGTTCTCCGGAGGTGGGTTGTGATCGCCTTCCATCTCGTACTCGTCCTCGGACTCGCTGCTCAATTGGCCGTCTCTGCGCTCTTCCGTAGCCAGTCTAGCTCGCTGTTGTCTCCTAAGTTGGCGGCTGGTGCGTTCAATCTCTGGATCCAACGGCAGTAAACCTCCCGACTGGCTACGGGTCATGCACTATCTGCACACAATCAAGCAGTGCAAACCCGTGAAGGCACAAGTGGGAAAGAAGAAACACTCAATGCGAAAATGAAAATGCTAAAGTAACAGAAATCACTTTTCTTAAACAACCTAGCTGTCCCCGGCAACGGCGCCAAAAACTTGACTCACTCCTACTGTCACTCTAGAAAATGGCCAAGTGTAACCACTTCCTAAAGCGTAGTATAGCGGGTTTGGGTTTTAATGTCAACCCGGGTCCTAGATGTGATGACTACTCAGTGAATTCGTATTATCTAGCAATGAAACTTTAGTGAAGATCTAAACTAACAAGCAAGCAAAACAACTAAACGGTTGTTTTCAGGTTAAGAGAGGTCACCCGGATATGGTTCCCCCTAGTCTGTAGTTAAGCCGGATTGTAATTACCAAGTTCAATTTCTATGATAGTTATATTGCGGAAGGTTCTCAAACAGTCTGAAGTCTCGACTAAAGGTCTTCAGACCCTCTCAATCTGAGTCTCTAGCGGGCGACTAACCTCCACCGGAGTAAACAGATTGAGGCCCTAACGAACCAAACCTCCACTATCGAATCGAATTCGGTACAGAATAGCGAATTGGCTCCTCGACTAAAGTCACCAATTCACTACCTTCAATTAAGGATGCTCTATCAACCTAGGCAGATATTCTCATTCTAGGTTAAAACAGAAATAACAGGAATTTGATCAGGATTCATGCCATTCAATCATTCAAACCTCAATCGAATATAATCAAATCATAGAAACAGTACTTGGGTTCATACAACCAATCCTAACATACAGATCTAGGGTTTCCCACACCCAGATGAATGGGAGAACTACTCCATGGAGAAAGAAGCAAAAGCATAATCAGATGCGGAAACCATACTGTGAAGGATGGATTTCAGCTCCTGGACGTTGATCGGCACTCTTCCAAGCTCAAGCCAAGCTCCAATGGTGATGAAGATCAAGCTAGGGCACTTGGAGACTCTTATTCGTCGCTTTCTCTCTATAGGAATCGTTCTATCTCTCCAAAACTCGAATCCCCCCCTTTTGGCTGAAAATCTGCCTAAAAAACCAGAATTTCCCGACTCACACGGGCAGGCCACACGGCCGTGTGGCTCACCACTTTGCCCGTGCGAGTCGAAACGCAGTGTACCATTAAGTCGATCTTCAGCCATCTCACACGGCCAGGGTTGCACGGCCGTGTGAATTTCCTGGGATGCCCGTGCTTGGCCTTCGCAAAAATCACACGACCACAAGTGCAACTTGCACGGCCGTGTGATACCCAGGGTTGCCCGTGTTTGCTCTCGCACAATCCCACACGGCCTGGTTTGTCAGTTGCACGGCCGTGTGGTATTTATGTGTGCCCGTGCAGCTTCCTTAGAACCTCGCCATGCGTCCGATCCTCGTCCAATCGACCACAAACTCGCTCCCAAGCCTCCATTCATGTACTAGGACCTGAAATATCACAAACAAGCACAACCTAGCGTGAAATCAGCCTAAAACACGAGAATCAACACCTCAAACGGAGTAAGAGCAGGGGTAAAAACATGTGTAAATAACGGTCTATCAGAGAACCTCCGGAGCCACGTAGGCAGGGGTCCCACACTGAGTATGGAGCAACCCGTCGTTACAGCGCTGACCCGGGAGCGCGGAGAGTCCGAAATCGGAGATCTTGAGGTTCCCGTTCTCGTCCAGCAACAGATTCTCCGGCTTCAGATCCCGATGGGAGACTCCCCGGCTGTGGCAATAGTCGATTGCGCTGATCAATTGCTGGAAGTAGCAGCGGGCGAGGTCCTCGTCGAGTTTCCCCTTTTCGACCTTGGCGAACAGCTTGCCGCCCCCTGACGTACTCCACGACGAAGAAGATTTTGGACTTGGTGGCCATCGCTTCATCGTTGGGGAAGAAGGAGGAAGAAGAAGGAAGATAGGGTTTGTTTGGGTTTGATCGAAAAGGAAAGAAGGTGAGGGGATAAGGTGGGAATGGGTGAGCCAAAAGTTTTTGTTTTTGTTTTATTTTTAATTATTCAATTTTGTAAATGAAATAAAAAGAAAAATAAAATTATAATTTTTTTATGCTGACATGGCAGTGACCTGGACAGTTGACTAACGGTCAAAGGTGTTGACCGTCCAAACAAACGGTCAAACCACGCTCCAGGCCAATTTTGTCTATATGATGCATAGTTCGGGCCAGGATGTTAATTTCTCAAACCACTGGCCAAAGTTGATTACATGGTCATAGTTCAGGCCATAACAAGGTATTAACCCTTTATTATTTGAAGACTACATTGTGACGGCTTGCTTACGACAGGTTCGTAGCTAAGTCTTATATAGAGATAGACTAGGGTTAAAACCCTAATGACAACCAAGTTTCCTTCTTTGACAAAGACAAGGAAACTAGGTACTTGGAGGACAAGGATTTAATTATTTTTGACTAAATAATTAATATCCTCAACACGACAAAAACTAATTAATGTGTAAGGTCTATGACACACGTATCTCGTATATTGATTATGATTGTTGTTTATGAAATTGACGAAATGTATCCGGCTAACTGGCGGGGCCATGACTAGTGATGATGTGAATCAAAACTCAACCCATAACTTTGGAAACTATAATCCTATGCCGGTAAAATCAACTATATCATAATCATAATATTCTTTTCAATTGTTCCTATTTGTTGTAAGACTGATCCACGAAGGAGCTGATTTGTTGTGGGTACTCTGGTGCTTATCTTGTTAATTCGCAAGGATTTTTATGACAAAAAAATAGTAATAAAAAACCCCTTTAAGCCATAAGCACTAAAAAGAGTGGAAATCTCTTATGATTTTCGGTTACATTTGACCATTTGTCCATTTGTTTCAAGACCGTCAAAGATTTGAATAGGTGGACTGGAGGAGCTGAGCAGGGCCATTGGATTTTATCTGTGGACCGTGCCAGGTGGTGTATTAGCAATCGTAACTGATCCCCCACGCCACTGGGCCCAGGCCCATCAAAATCAAACACTTGGGAGCGTTACGGCGACGCTAATCGTCTTCTTCTTCCGCTCTTTCTCTCGTGTTCGTGTATATAAGAAGTTAAAAACTAAACTATGCATCAGACTAGACCTTAAAAAAAAAAGTTATCAGAATATAATATCAGTGAATCACAACTTCACAAGAACTGCCATCTAGCCCTTTACCATTGAAATCACCGCAGCCGCCGGGAAACAATGAACGAATTGCCAGAAGAGTGCATAGCTAAAGTGATGTCATACCTCGGCCCCCAACAGGCCTGCAGGTTAGCTTCCGTCTCAAGAACGTTCAGTTCAGCTTCCCAGTCGGACGTTCTCTGGGAAAGCTTCCTTCCATCCGATTACCGGTCGATTATCTCCCAGTCTTCAGATCCATCTCTTCTCTCGACTTCCGCCTCCAAGCAGCACCTCTTTCGCCGACTGTGCCAGCAACCAGTTCTGCTCGACCAGGGCAAAAAGGTCAGATACCCGATTACCCAAACCTCCCTCGTCAACAATCAATCTCGATAAATTAGTCTTCCAATTCATGTCTAGGTTGTTCTTTAGGGTTCAAATTTTAAGAATTCAATTTCAATTTGCAGAGTTGGGCGGTGGAGGCAGGGAGGGGGAAGATATCGATGATGGTGGGAGCCAGGGATCTGGCGATCACATGGGGCGACACTCCCGCGTACTGGCGGTGGGAGACGGACCCGGATTCGAGGTTCGCCGGAGGGGAAGTGGCGGCGCTTGAGCTTGTGTGGTGGTTGGAGATCCGGGCCAAGATCCAGACCCGGAGGCTGTCGCCGGGAACCACGTACGGGGCTTATCTAGTGTTCAAATTGATGGGTGGGCACATCGGGTTCGCGGGGCAACCCGTGAAAGTTGGGGTCGGGTTTGTGGGTGATGAAGGCTCGGGCAAGGAATCAGTCGCGAATCTGGATCCGGCGGCGGCTGGGGCTGGGGGGAGATCGAGGAGAAATCCTCCGGCCGGCGGCGGAAGTAGGGTGTTGGGTATGGTACTCCGGTGGGTGACCAGGCCGAAGGTGGTGCAGCCGAGGAAAAGGGGAGACCGGTGGTGGGAGGTGAAGCTGGGAGAGTTTGAGAATGGGGTGGCCGGCGGTGAAGAAGTTGAGGTTTCGGTCAAGGAAGTGGAGTCGGGTCAGGTCAAGCACGGGCTTGTAGTCCATGGCATAGAATTCAGGCCGGAATAGAACAATTGATCATAATTATAAAGTTATGTTTAGAGGTGGCAATTAGGATCCAAATCCATGAATCCAATCCAATCCATCCACCAAATTATCCACCTAATCCAATCCATTTAAATCCAATCCATTTGATCCAAATCCAATTGGATTGGTGGATTCATGGATCAATCCATGGATCCAAATGGCAAATTACGATTTGGTACCTATATTTTTTATATTTTACATTTTGGTACCTAAAATTTATATTTTTATACGAAAAATATCATTGGAAAATTACATTTTGGTACCTAAAATTTTTCATTATTACATTTTAGTACCTAAACTTTTTAAAATTTACATTTTGGTCCAAGCCTTGGATGTTATTTGGATTCATGGATCAATCCACCAATCCATTGAATCCAATCCATGAATCCACCAATCCATTGGATCCAATCCATTTGATCCATGGATCCACGAATCCAATCCACGAATCCACGAATCCGATCCAATTGCCACCTCTAGTTATGTTTAAAAAAAAGGATCATAATTACGAAGTTGTATGTCTTCGGAGAACCCAAGAATTCGGTAATAAGGGAAGAAATACAGTCATGGTGAAGACATTGATATTGACGATTTGACTTGCATACACGAACTTATATCGTTGGATACTTGAATGTAGTTTATGTGGATGATCATCGATAACTCGTTTGTTCCATACGATACTATAGTTATTTTTGAACAATGATCAACAATAGTTATTGTAATCTCATAATGCGCCCCTGGGGTGTATGTTATCAAAGTCACGCAGCACAACGATCAATCTGAAGATTGATTGAAAAATCGAATCAAGAACAACGTGTTCTTAATACGAAATTGGATAAAACGGAAACGAAAGGGAATTCTTACACCTGGAAGAATGCACAATCGTTATGGTGAAGCTTTCGATATAATCGAGTGTGATCGCTCGATCAATAAGCAGGTCAGCAAATTTTGATCGCAACCAAAACCCAAGAACAAGTTCGCAAACTTGAACAAACCAAACGGTTTCTTTTTTATTAATCAACTCTGTCTTTTCATAGAAAAACAGGGTTCATTGCTGGTGGTTTGCTCCAGAGTCGAATTCACCTTGGGAAGCTTACAAAAGCTCATGAAATTAAATCCTACTCGCCTCTGAACCCATAACTGAGCTCGAGACTCCTTTCCAATGATTCGATTCGACTCTAATTGCTTGAGATCGCCGTAAACTTCGTCTGGCGAAAGAGGTTTCAGAATGAACTTCTTTCCTTGGTGTCGAAACCTGTAATAGTTTGTCCATCCTTCGTGTGTGACCTTACGGTCGAATTGCCAAGGCCTACCAAGCAATAGGTGAGCTGTTTGCATCGGTACAACGTCACATAACACCTCGTCGTCGTACTTTCCGAGATTAAAATGAGCTTGTTTGGTCACATTGATCGTTCCATGTTCGTTGATCCAACTGAGTTGGTAAGGCTGGGGATGTCGTTGCATTGTTAATCCAAGCTTGTTGACAGCGTCCAGGCTTATGATATTTGCACAGCTCCCTCCATCGATCACGAGTGACACCAATTTTCCACCGATGAAGCATCTACTGTGAAATAAGTTATCCCGTTGTTCGTCGGACTCTCTATGCTTGATGACGACTGTTGGGGACTTCTCTTTGCCACAAAATCGAGCCTGCTGCTCCTCCTTACTGCCCTCTACCAACTCCTTTGCTCGAAGGGAGTTTTCCATCGCGATTGCACACGAAACAGCAGCTGTAACACACGAACAGGGGCTGCCCTGTTTTAAACACGAATTCTGCTTGTGCCGATATCGTCAATTGCTTCTTCTCCTTCGCCCTTGTGTAGAACGGGGCTCTGATACCACTTAATACGCCCCTGGGGGGGTGTATGTTATCAAAGTCACGCAGCTAACGACTCAATCGAAGAATCGATTGAGCTCGAATCAAGAACGAAGCGTTCTTAATACGAACTTGGATAAAACGGAACCAAAAGGACAATTCCACACCTGGGGAACGCTCAATTGGATTAAAAGGTAGATGCCCGACCACGATCAACGCTCAATTGGATAAAACGGAACCAAAATGACGATTCCAGCAGTCGTTTTTAAGCATCGAGAATCCGATGAGCAGCGTGATAATCTATTTCACAGCCGATGCTTTGTCGAAGGCAAGTTAATATCGTTCGTGATCAATGGAGGTTGCTGCTCAAACATCATCAGCCTATACGCCGTTCAAAAGCTTGGATTGACGACACAAAGGCATCCAGCGCCTTACCAACTCGGTTGGATCAACGAGCACAGAACAATTAATGTGACGAAGCAAGCGGTGGTTCGTTTTCAAATCGGCAGTTATGAAGACGAGGTAACTTGTGACGTTGTGCCGATGAATTGTGTTCATATGATGTTGGGAAGACCGTGGCAATATGATCGCGAAGTGTCTCATGATTGTCGAACCAATCGGTACAAATTCAAACATAATGGTAAGAAGATAGCGCTGAAACCTCTATCTCCGGATGAAGTTTTCGCCGATTTGAAGCAGATGGAGGCGAATCAAAACGAGGGAAAAGAGCCTCGAGCTCAGTTTTGGGTTCAACGTCGAATTGGCTTCAATTTCCTAAGCTTTCAAAAGCTCCAGAAGGAGGTTCCAGAACCGCCACCAGCAACTTGCAATTACCCCTGTTTTGCGACGCGGAAAAAGAGTTGTCAGGCCAGCTGCTCTACTGACGTCGAAGAAGGGAAAATGGTGGACTATGCGGCCAGAAACGCATCCTTGGAGGTTGGAGTAATGAATGCTAGTCGAGGGCAAGCTCCAAAGCCTGTTGAAGACGACCGCCTTCCTCCTCCGACGAGATTGCCGCAACTCTGCCACGTTTCCTCGACAGAGCAGGGCAGGAGAGAGAATGGATGGGTTGGAACTCTAGGGGATGAGTCGAAACTCACCAATGGTGCGGACTCGTTACCCACGACCCTAGAAACGTCATACGAAGCTTCCTTGGAGTCGAACGTACCCGGAATTGAAAATTCGATTCTCACGAAATCGCCCCTGTTTGTGAAGGAAACTGCCGACCAGAACCCTCTCTTGGGTGGAGCAAACCAGCACGATTCGAGCCAAATAAGCGATGTAGACTGGTCCAAAGAAGGCCAACAAACGTTCAAAAGCAATCAACTTGTCCCGGCACAGTCAGAATCAGAAACGCCCAAATCCGAATTCGAAATTCTGGGTTTGCGAAATTCGAACTCGGCCGACGGCGGGAAGAGGGAACTCGACGAATTGAAAACAATGGCGATGCTTCGGGACTTGGGCATGGACCAGAACTTCAATTGGAAGCCTGGATAAGAGTTTGGAGTGCTTGAATTGGATGGGGGATACTTGAATCACAAAACCCCAATTGTGCCGAGCAAGAACGAGTGTCGCACTGCTGTCCGACGACCTGTGAATTGCACGGAACGAAATTCGGCAAAATTGGTGGTCAAAGCAGGTTTATTTCAACCACACAAAGCGTTCCCAATGACACTGCAAGCACCAACACAACTAGATGCGATTGATGATGAGATTGAAGCTGCCAAAGTTGTGCCAAAAAAGATGTTCGAGCAGGCTACTTTCGATCCAATTTGGGATCAGTTCTGCGATGATTTTGATAAAATAAAAGATCAAGCTTTGAGGGCAAAGCTTTTTGAAGAGGGGGAGCCTGATATGATCCAAATTGGCCACTTCTACAAGTCACAATTACTTGCCAAAGAAGCTATCAAGGTTGGAAAGAAGAGGGGCAGAATTTGGTTAAGTATAGAGACAGTTTCAAGGTACCAACTTTGGAGGTATGGTTCTCTTTATTGGATCAATGAAAATTGGTGTTTAATGGTTTGTTTTGAAGATAAACACTTTCTCTATAAGTTGGATTGCTTGGTGGCGCAAGAGAAAGTCCAGAACATCAAAATCCAGACGTATAAAATTGCTATGAAGAATTCTGAAAACTGCCAAAATCTGGCTAAGGCAGAAAACTGTGTTGAGATACCAACTTTGAAGGCCTATATCTGGAGATTGGAACATGATCTCGGGCTGTTTCAAGTTGGAGGTGAAAGAGGGAGTTTTCTTCTACATATGAAAGGAATTGGTTGAGTTCGAATCAACTTGGAAGGCTTTGATCGAGAGGCTCAAAGATGGCATCAAAGCTGTTTGGTTACTTGGAGCTAAAGGCAGATTTTCCTTTTCTTGTTTAGTTAGGATTTCATTGTTTTGGTAGTTTTTTATTCCTTTTCGTATTAGACTGTAATTAGGAGTTTATGGGACGTGTGTAACCCTAGCTAGGCCTATTTAAGCTTTCTATTTCGTTGCAAAAACTAAGACTTTGTTGAATAGAAATCGAAACCTTTAGGTTTTTGCAAGTTTGCGTACTTGTGTGAGCTTTGGTGGATTCCAAACTCGTTGAGCTCTTGTATCGATCAAGAACGCGTTGATCGTGGTCGGGCATCTACCTTTTAATCCAATTGAGCGTTCCCCAGGTGTGGAATCGTCCTTTTGGTTCCATTTTATCCAAGTTCGTATTAAGAACGCTTCGTTCTTGATTCGAGCTCAATCGATTCTTCGATTGAGCCGTTAGCTGCGTGACTTTGATAACATACACCCCCAGGGGCGTATTATCTCATTTTGCTATTTGTACACAATTTCTTACTCTTTCCTAGCTTTATATTTTGTCATTAGGTTTTAAAAAAAATGTTTGTGCTTAGTGACCATAGTTTAGTTAGTATTAGCCATTTTGTCAAATCAAACAATTACTATATGAAGGTTCTCTTTCAAATCCCATCCATTCCACTTTTCCTGCCACCAGCACATAGGACGGAGGGATTCATTGGTAAAAGAAAAAGAAAAAAATGCGGTAATTACAGTTTTGTATGTTTTCCATTCTCGGAAGGATATATTTTTATAAAGGTTTAATTCACCCGCGTAGCCATAACTTTCACGGTTTTGACAAATATAACAACTTTTTGAATAATACACAGATGTAGCCATTTTCGTTCAATTCTTTGACGGTTCACTTAACTCGCTGACTAGACGAACGGATGCAACTGATGTGGCGTGTTTTCACAATTTAAAAAAAAAAATCAAACGACAAGTCAACATGCCTTCCACATGGATGACACTTCATATTAAAAGATTAGTTTTTAG